AAAAACTCTCAGAGGTTCGCTTCCTCTCCTCTTGCGGGTGGTTGGGATTTGCATGGTCACGTGATCGTGTGTGCAGCTCTAGCCGTGTGTTCCGTGTGCCTGTCGCTGTCAGTTTTCGAGGACTCAGCGTGTCACCCGAATACGCACGTGAATAGGGTCCGTGCTCAGGTTGCGCATAACACTTGTTTAAGCTAAGGCGACCAGGTCGGAGCGAATCCGTTACAGTGGCGACGACAGAGCTTTCGAACCATGACAGACCAGTACGCCGATTTGAAACTTATGCTGCAGCAGCAACTCAAGTTGACGTCTGTACTAACCGACAAATTTTCCAGTTCGCCCTTTCACGCAGAACCGATGAGTACTTCTCAATCGGTGGACCATGTCATTAGCGGCATCAGTGAATGCCTGTAGGACGCAAAAACTAGAGTAACGTTCGATTCTTGGTATAAGCGGTACGAGGACCTGTTCACCGTTGACCCGGTCTGCCAGGATGACGCGTGGAAGATCCGGCTGCTGGTACACAAACTAGGGGGGCTCAAACACCAACGCTATATCAACGTCATCTTGCTTAAGAACCCACGAGACGTTACCTTCAAAGAGACGGTCCGAACCATGTCCCAGATATTTGGCGAGTAACCCTCCCTGTTCAATGTCAATTATCAATGTCTGCAGCTGGTCAAGCGTGATGCCGACGACTTCATCATGTACGCGGGCGTGGCCAACCGTGAATGCGAGCGTTTGCAACCAAGTCAAAGACCTGATCTCCGTCTAGCGTGTCCGGTCTGCACACGATGCTGATATCCGGACGCGCCTCCAATCCAACGAACAACAGGATACCACTGTCACACTCCAGGACCTGGCCGAGGAGTGTCAAACGCTGCTGAACCTGAAGCACGACACTGCAATGATCCAGGACGCCGCCGCACCTAGTATGGTCCAGGTAGTCGCAGCATCTATGGCGCAATCGCCCCTGCGCCCCACTCAATCCGACCGAGCGAAGCCCCCACCTTACGCGTGCCGATTCTGTGGTGCCTGGCATTTCCACTGGGACTGCAACTTCTGCCAACACCGACGCCAACGTCGTGGCAAGGTCGAGCACCGGGATGGTTACTGCCATCCTACAACTCCCAAGGGAACCAAAACTGGGTTGGGTCCCACTCGCGATCCAAAGTAGAGGTCCCGACCCAGACACCAACCAAAACCTGGTCCGGTTGACAGCTCCCTGAGCCTGCTAGCCACGTTCCAAGTCAACATTGCAGATCGTCGACGTCATAGTCAACGGTCAGTTCGTCCGGTTGCAGTTGGACACTGCGTCGAACATCACGATCATCTCCGAGGATTTCTGGTTATACCTTGACAAGCCTCTATTCGAACTGACTGCCCAATCAGCCACTAGCGCGGGTGGTGATTGCGGGCAACTAAATGGGCAGCTGTACTGCTCCGACACCTTCCGAGGAACCACATTCAACGAACTTGGCTACATCACGAAGGCGAAGCACTACCTACTTGGTTTTGATTGGCTTGGCCGACCTTCCTCTTCAGACCATCTGCAACGCGGTACATCCTCTGGCAGTACCAAGCGATCAAACCGACGACACGATCAGACAGTCCGCCTCCGTATTTCAGGATGGTCAACAAGCATGTAAGCATACCAACCACCAGTTCCTTGGCAACCGATAAAAAACCGTGGTCTCGAGTGCACATCGACTATGCTGGTCCGATTGATGGCACCTACTATCTGATCACAGTCGACGCTTACTCCAAATGGCCTAAAGTGGTCACCGTCAACCCACCAACTGCATCCGTCACGCTGGGTTGTCTACAAAGAATCTTCAGTTAACATGGCGTTCCCGAGATTCTGGTGTTGAACAATGGCTCCCAGTTTACGTCTTCCATATTCAAAGAATTTTGTTGCCGGCATTGCATCCAACATCTATGCTCACCGTCCTACCATCTACAGTCCAATGGTCAAGCGGAGAGGTTTGTCGACACCTATAGGACACACTTGAAATCCCATGGGGTGGGGAGCGTGGAGGAATGTCTTCACGCGTTCTCGCCTCCTTATCGGTCCACACCAAATACAGCTGCTCTAGGATGCCAGTCTCCGGATGAAGCATTGATGAGCCACAAACTACGCACCACTAACGAAGCGCTCATCCCAACCGAAAAGCCACTAAGTAAATCTACTAACTGCACAAAGCACCTTGAATTCGTCGTTGGAGCCCCAGTATACGATCGCGACTAGTGAGCAGGTCATCCACGCTGGATCAAAGCAACAGTGACGGCACGTCGAGGTGATAGGTTGCATGATGTCTCTGTTGGTGATGACACGTGGGTCCACCACTGCAATAAACTTCGACCGTGGCACGGGGAACCCATCACGCCAGTCATTCTTCCTGTGCACCTGCCGCTGAACATCTTGTTGGATACCTGTGAAATGGCTACACAACGGGAGAGCACGGTCGAAGCGATCCAGTAGCCACTAGGTCTAGAGAACTTGCCTTACCGACGAACAGGAAGAACCCGGCGATCACAGAAATCCCTTCAGGCCAATCCTTGCCAGAAGCAGTACACATGGTCTTCAAACGGAGATGTTGTGGACGCGTCAAATAAGCCCGCAAAAATACGACACATAGTTCAGTGCGTGAGCTGTGAGACGCGAAGTTCAACTGCTGCTCAAAGAGTAGAAGGATCCAGCCACTCGGAGTCGGAGCACAACTGGGCTAAAGTGGACAACCTTCTTTCGTAAACCACCAGCCCTACCTGGTGATTCATTTCATCCACCAAATGAAGCGCTGTTCCAAAAGTGATTCGGCCCTTGTGGATCCCAAAAGAACTCTCAGAGGTCCGCTTTGTCTTCTCTTGCGGGTGGTTGGGAATCGCGTGGTCACGTGATCGTGTGTGCATCTAAGTTTAGCGCGTCTAGTCCCCAGGCGTGTGCGGGTCGTTGTCCGTTTTCGAGGACTCAGCGTGCCATCCGAATAAGCACACGAATAGTGTCCATGTTCGTCTAAGCTAACGCGACCAGGTCGGCGCAAATTCGTTACAAAGGGGCAATGATTTTATTCAATGACGAGGCACATCCGCCAGGTCAGTGTTGTTAAGCGGGCATATGTGGGCTTTGACAGGAAGAATCCTTTCCAAGGCGAAAACCCACGACACTCTGGAACATTGCTGTCGAAGCATTCGTTGGAGCGGGATAATCCCGAACCACTCAGCTGACATCACGATTAGGTTATTCGGCCAGCCATCCCAATGATGCTACATGATGTCCCTGATCGACCATGGCAGAAGGTGAAGTGGAATTTATTGTGACAAAGAAAAAGATTGCTTACTTAAGGAGGATCACCATAGTTGTTATTTCGTAATCGATTTGCCGACCACTAGGACCGCAGAATTAATAATCAACAACCTCGGATGTCAATTCGGTCAGTACGGAATACCGGAAGAGCTGGTCTCCTACAATGGTCCCCAATTTACCAGAATTACGTCCCAGCCCTTCGCAACCAAGTGGGAATACGTGCATCAGCAAGCCAGCTCATATTACTGTTAACCGAATTGAAAGGTAGAGTTAGCAGTGAAGCAGGCCAAACGACTATTATCAAAGGCTAGAGCTGCCGGCGAAGACCCGTACCTCATGCCACCGCAGAATCGCAGCTCTTTCAAAGGATATCGGTTTGAGTCCAGTGCAGCGCGTTTACATCTGAAAAATTAGAACTCTGATGCCACACATTTGTGACCAGATTCGCAACAGTATCAGAGACTACACAACATTCAGAGATGAATGATCAGATCCGGATCTGGCATTGGTTTGCGAGACACCGCGAATCAGGACTGAATAGCCGCACTGAAGATGTTGCCTAGTTTGGTAACGAAACGTCTGCAACAGAAATGCCCGGCTCTGAGAACAGGGCAATCCTCTCATCCACACCCCGAGCTACAGGTATACTCAATAATTTACAAGACGAATGACCACTCAGAAAAGTTACTGCTACCGCGGTGCACGGGTACTATCTGAGCTAACAGTGGGGGAGGAAGTGTGGGTTCTATCAGTACCCGATAGTCGAGAGCGGTAGAAAGGTGTGGTGACTGCAAAGGTCTGTGCAAGGTCATACAAAATAAATGTTGGAGGGAAAACACTCAGAAGAAATCGAGCGCATTTGAGACGATACCGGAGACAACAATGTGGATCAAGAGTAGAGCGCCCTAGGGTGTGAAGCAAGATCACGGCTGCATACACAGCGAATAGGACATGGAGTGGCATGGTGTAAGGGGTGCATAGCAATTCGGAGGCGCGAGGACACAAAAATGTGAGAATATGATGGGGGTGTCATGTCTGAGTCAATGGATGGACCAACCGACCGAGTAATACAGCCAGCGGAAGATGGGCATAACGAATCCGATTACTGGACACGCATTTGCCGATATTCGTGAGTTATTCACCAGTTGTTTAACCGTGTCAAAGGAGCCATATAGACTCAGAAAGGTTGTTAGTTATGGATGTGAGCTAGCAACTTATGTCGAAGAGTTTGGCTTGCCAAACATGTTGTAAGTTTCGCCGAGTTGGTTGATGGATAAACGCTCGTACCTGAAAGACTGAGTTCTGTAACACTGTGAGTTTTAGACTCTATGTCAAACAAAATTATCTTATGGCACGCAACTACTGCTATTCAGCTATGTATAGAAGAGAGTATTCACATTATCACCAAATTCCAAAAATGAGAGCGCTGATACGGAGTTTTCTTAGCTGTATGCATTTTTTGTCTGGGCATTACCATCAAACGTGACCCAATGGGAATAAGTGCCAAACAAAGCAGTGCGCTAATATCACAGTCAAACGCCTTGGACTTCTGATGTTGTGGGTGGTCGCACAAACCATCGAATGCATTGCGGCCAGTTGATTTCAGTGCTGATTAAACAGTGTTTCACCAATTCAGGCAAAAGGGTGTGCGCTTGCAAATGCGTTAGCATGTCCAATTCAAAGCAAACATCTGGCTTACTTGCTTCATATCATTCACTGGATCAACTGTAGCTGAGCCACTTCTCCGTACGCTCGATGATCTTCTTCTTCGAGCACTTGGAGATGGAATCGTGCCAAGGACTTTTCCTGATTGGGAAAAAAGAATGGAACTTTCCCGAACGCATGCGCCAATATATCGGTTGTTCGCGTAGTTATGAGGTAAATATTATTAATATTCCTGCGGGTGCAGGTGGACGCCCCAGACGTCTCAATCAATCATACAAATATGAAGCAACGAAGAAAGGGAATAGCATAAAATCGAAATATGACATTATTTATATAATGCGCCGTTGAGCGCACGGGCTGGTCAAGAAAGTTTTTTGTAAAATCGTGTATCCAGTCGGCGCAAGCGACCGACAGTGACTGATTTACGTGCCGCGGGTCACCCTATTTCGGATGCAAACCGATCAGTCAAAATAGACTCCGAGTGTGGACTTACGTACTATGAAGCTTTGAGGAAAAAATTGCGCGGTATATGGACTGTATGTAGGACTAGACGAAATCTTGCTGCGCAGATCAAGGCTATGATAGAAAAGTATTGAGCAACTGAAAGCATTCCGAAATTTCTGTCGCTGAGACAATCAGAGACATAAGCCGGTCACTGAGGGCTCTTCAACAGCCACTTCCATTTAGGCACAGAGAGACGGCCAGCTGTCACATTTGAGTGTTTTCGGCATCCCGGAGGGATACAAACAAAACCAAGAAAAGGGCGTAATGTATAAACGTGACACTAAATCCAACGCATCTTTAAGGCTGCCGATCTTTACTTATAAGTGGTTTCTTTTCGAGTAAGTCGCAAACCCAGTCAGAGCAAGTGACCGATAGTCTGTTGCTAAAGTACCGACTTTTGTGTCCTGAGTCATCCCAGTGGTGTACATTTGGTATGAACTTTTGTCATTAAAACGATTTTTCGGTGTAGCCTTACGTATTCACTGAGCATTGGAATGTAGAGAGAGGCAGAATCCATTTCGCTTCCCAATCCCTGAGTGGAAGCCGCGAATCGTTGGGAAACGGTATTCCACAATGGTTCGGAACAGATACATTGAAAGCAGTAAGGTCCCACCGTATTCAGCAGGTGAAAATCCAAAAGGCGCTAGAAGCACTCTACAACCGCGGGCGCCGACCACAGGTTTCGGTAGGTTCTTCCAGTTATTTACAACGCGGGTTGATAAAGTGAGAGCAGAACGAACTCGGAACCTTCTTGGTGTAAACAGTTACCAGTTGTGACCTCAAATTGAATTATTAGCGTTGACTTGAAAGAACGCATGCAGCTCCAGCCCCATCTCTCCCCGAAGTATATACCGCTGACAAAATCAGGTCGCTGCGACGTTTATGCTAATCGAGGAAGAAAAGATTCATCCGCTGAAGTAGAAGGGGATAAGGCAAGTCCCGTAACTCCAATAAGGCATCAGCAGTACGCCGGTGCGAGGTACCGACGCTTCGCTGCCGTTCATCTACCACCATTAGCACGTGCGCCAAGGATACTGTAAGTGTCGTCCGGTCCCAAAGCAGGCTCGAACCGGCCCTCGGAGTATAAGACAGGCTTTTGATTCTAAATGCTACGGGGCTGCCTTGTAACTCAAAGATGGATATCGAGCAACGCCGCTGGACCTTCACAGTCAGGCTACATTCGAACTTGGGAAGAGGGCAAATGGCAGATGCTCAAGGATCGGGCGCACATGCGAAGTAAACAGAATTCTGAAGATTTCCGGAGTGTATCGTGAGAAAGCTCTCTGTATAGCATTAGACATCCTATTGGCAGCGGCAATCTGCCGTACTGTGTCTATGTAGACGGTAAGTTAGATGACAAACACCTAAGTCCTTCTCAGGAGTGGTTCTGAGTAACACCACAAACATGGTACGTTCCAAGTGTCTCAGGGGCGTCTAGGGGGTGAACTGAGCATCTTTAAGATTTATGGGCGATTGCTATGTGACTGGACACTCATGTAACTTGTTCAATAACATTGTAATCTGTCCGCATGCTCAAGTAAGGATATCCCCATCCACAGCTACAAGTAATCGGCGTAAGTTAGGCAGGCGGACTGAAGTTCCGACGACACGTCACTGATGAAATGTTCTGGACAAAGAACCGCTCTTTACAGAGCACCGATTGTCATGGGCAAATAGGCGGAATGGGATTCGCAGTGATGAAGAGCTGGGAATAAAGTTCCGCTGAGCCTTGACAATATTTACGACTGGAAAAGCTGCATTCTTATCACAAGTTACCGCTGCTATGGAAGATGTTCTCCTCAATGCCCGAAATCAATCCCAAATGTCTCACTAAGACGATCATTCATGCCGCAGCAAAAGCTCATTCATAATACTAAATCGGTCGATCGTGTAACCTATTTCCATAATCTGTTAGATAGGTATCCTTTAGACAAAAAAGGTAAAATAGTGAAATTTGCAGAGCTCAAGTTCGGGTGGGACTGGGACGATAGGAGAATCCCGTGAGTGTTCTATCTTGAGTGGATCGTTGAGCCAGGAATTGATGAAGTGCTCAGAGTTATTGATGGGTCTAAAACAGAACACCCGTATCGCAAATCGGCCAACCACTTAATGCCTACGTTTCCTGCCCTAGTAGTGGCAGTCACGTTAGCATCATTATCATTATACACGTTAGCTAGAGGTGGGGAACACCTCAGCTACTGTGCCGCAATACATAGAAAAAAGGAGAAAAAAATGCAACTGGTGCAAGCTGGCTGAGCTACCGGTAACGGATGGTCATCGTTCCGGTAAGCTACCAGCCGGCTGCTGTGCCTCAAAAAAAATTATTATGCAAAATTATATAAGGCTAAATAATGAGATCGTGGTTGGAGGGGGAGGCTAAGAGGGATGGAGTGGGACAAAGAAACTCACAGCACGAACGCCACTGAGGTCGGCTCCTAGCCATATCAGCAAGTGTGTCCAACCAAACGTGTTCATCGTCTTTCGGACCTCAACCAGGGAGCCGAGACGCTCCAACCGAGGCCAGCTCAGAAGTGAGGGCCTTCATTCCTCTCGACCAAGTCATCGCCTGGCCACCCCTCCTCTTCTTCCATTCACACCCCCTGCGCGCAAACAACACGTCGCGGAAGTCGGTGGGCTGGCATGCGTAACACGTGGCCGAGCCATCGGAGCCTGGTGCGTGAAATGACGGTGCTGAGCGGTTCATTTCCTTTTCCTATGCCATAAACAAGGCGTCGAACACGCTCGTTGCTCACGCGGTGTACCCACCAAATGTGAGCTAAACTACGAAGGCACCGGTGGTCGAACGTAACTAGCCTCTTCAGATCCGTTGCTTTAAGCGGCCAGGTTTCACAACCGTACAGTAGGGTCGAACGTACTGCTGCATTGTACACTCTACCCTTCAGGGTGAGAGTGATGTCGCGCCGCCGCCATAAGTGGCGAAGGTTAGCAAAAGCGCCCCGAGCTTTTGCTATACGGTTCGTGATCTCACCTTCAATTCCACGGGCGCTGATACAACTTCCCAGGTAGTTGAATTTTTGAACGACTTCTAGCTGATCCCCACCAAGGGTCAGCGTAGGAGGCTGTCCAGACCAATCTTGGAGAAACGCTTTGCATTTCGAGGGTGCGAAGCAAAGCCCCAGGTGACGGACAGCTAGTGCTAATCTGTCCAGTGCCGCTTGGCACGTTTGTGAGCTGTCACAGATCAGGGCAATATCATCAGCATACTCTAAGTCAAGAAGTCGTTCGTTTGGGAGTAGCTCCACACCTTCTAAGTCGTGTCCTGTGAACGCGATTTCCATGACTTCGTCAATAGCGAAGTTGAAGAGGAAAGGTGACAGTGAGCATCCTTGTCTCACACCGCTGGAGATATTAAAGGGCGACGACAACTTGCCGTAAGCCCACACTCTGCCCGAGCTACGAGAATATAATGCTCGGATAATATTCACATATTTCTCAGGTACACCTTTCCTGAGTAGACAGTCCCAAAGTGCATGTCTATCCACCGAAACGAATGCACCTTTGATATCGAGGAACACGACAACGGTGGGCCGCCAATATATGTGACGGTGCTCCAACTGACGTTAGCAACAAAACGCCGGTGCTCAATTCGTGACAAATACGACATAATGAAATAGTCTAAGGATTGTAATAACTGCGTTATACAATGTACTGAAGATTGCTTACATTTGGGATTGGAATGCACTCGACTGGAATATGACTTATACACAAAATTTTAGAAGTGTGTGCATACATAGTTAACTAAAGAACTTAGATAAAAACGATACCATATTTAACCAAGGCTAGTAAATTGAATTAACTAAATGTTAATTACCAGGGCTAGTTTTTGCTGGAGGTGGAACCCAGGGAACTTGAGTTGGAAAAAATGATTGTTTGCTTTTATTTGTGCTGTTGGTTGATCCTGCCTTAATACCCTTCTTTTCACCATCCAGATGAATAAAAACTGGAGATTCGTCGGAAACGTGAAAATGTATCGGGCTCTTGTTTCGGCATTTCGACGACCTGCCTTGAAGCTCGACCATCCCGTACGTCATTTTCGAAATTCTGACGACCCAATCAACAACAGTAGGTCTGTACTTGATTGGTCTATTCCAAAACGTTAGCTCATTAAAAGTAAGACCATCTCGTGACTGCCTGTTTCCCTAGTTCAATGAACACCGTACACGTGATAATTTTAAAGAAGGAAAGTTATGTTAATTTAATCTTTTCAAGTTCAAGTTCAAGCGGGACTGGAACGATAGGATTATCCCGTGAGTGTTCCTTCTTCGGCGGGTCGTTGAACCAGGAGTTGGTGAACTTTGAAATACTGATGGACCTTAAACAAAGACCGCATCACACCCTGTCCAACCAATTAATGCCCACGTATCCTGCCCTAGCAGTCCCTGTTGGGTGAGTTACGTGAAGTAAGAAAGAGAAAAAAGTAAAGGCAGAAGGCAAAAGAGAAAGTGGTAAGAGCTAAGCAAGTGGAATACCAAGATACTTCAGTCATTAAAAAAGAACTGAAAATTGACGGTGAGTCAGCTAGGAAAAAGGAAATGTTTGCTGTTACCACCCAAGAGCATCGAGCTGGCGCGCAAAACCCTTAACCGTAGGTTCTCAAACCACTTGATCTGGAAGCGAATTCCAGCGATCTATAATTCGGCGCGATAGACGAGTTTCCGTCCTAATCCTATCAGACCGTGGTTTATGCAGTTTCAGTGGGTGACCGCAGAGACTGGGTAACGTAGCGGGACTAAAAAGCCCTGACAAGTCCGGGCCAATCTTACCCGTCAAAATACGATAAGGGAGAATCAGGTCCCCTCTTATCCTTCGGTAGTGCATGGAGTACATACAATGGTGTGCTTCTTTTTGCATTGCATCTAAACATGGAACAATGAAAATGCACGCTTCAGGGGTTTATAAAAGCGAATTCTTTAGTTGACGACATAGAAAACGCTAAATGCTTGCGCTTGACAAGTCTCGTATGTCGCTTGGGGCGGAACACGTTTGAAAGGAGCAACGAATAATTCACACAACTTTTAGGGTATCTACTGCTTTAACTGCAATGCTGCATGACGATGATTTGAACTGAGAATGGGATATGCACACACAAAATATTGGTTCATTGCTTCGTTGGTTTGGATAGAGTAGAAAGGATTACCTTCTTCAGCCCCGTCACTTCCCGCCCATAGAACGGAGATGACTTGATGCTACATCGTTCCTCGAAGGAGGATGACGGTTACAGGCAACACAGCAACATCAATGCTTGTTCAGCAAAAGGATGTCTAGTCATCGTTTGAAACATTCCGCGGTTTGCACCTTGAGGTCTAGCTTAGGTACACTCTTCCAGTCATTCACCACACGAGTTGACAAAGTGACATCAGAGCGAATCAGAAGCTCCCTTGTTTTAAGCCGCTTCCTACCGTGGCACCGTCACGATCCATTCACACGTTGACGAAATGACTTTTGTATGCCATCTTCCATCTCAACACGGAGAATACGACGCGGATAAATCAAATCACCACGGCGGAGACGGCCCTCCAGAGAACAAGTACGTCCTTTGAAGGCGATCAGACTAAGACAGGTTCCGAGGTGTCGTAACGGATTTCGCTCGCCGCCGCTGACCCTTCTTTATCAGTACGTAGTTGGCTTTCTTGTGAGGATAGTATGCTGACAATCCGTACTTAACTACTGGTCGAACAAGAGAACTAGACAGCAGTCGGAACACAAGTGCTTGAGAGATTTATTTTTATAATGATGTATAAAATGCGAGTTTCATTAGTTCAAGCACACCTGCGACTGATCTTATTTTTCTCTGAATTCCGGATGCATCGTTTTTGTCTGCTTGCTTGGCTGCTTTGTTTGTTGCCTTTCTTTCGAGATTTCCACATAAACGGTGGTCAGCAACCGAAGAAACATCTACTGCCTTACCTGAACCCTGCAACGGAGCACAATATTTCTTTATCTGGAAATGGATGGATAAGTACTCAGCTGTTTTATTACTTACCGGATAGAAAACCACTTATTCGTTACCTTGGGTGGATGCCATTACCTTAAGGCCCGAACATTTGGGTTCAGCTCACCTCTACTTTTCGTAGTTCCTACTGGGAGCTCCCGCTGACATTTAATGTCAACTCGGACATTCCACCTGCCTTCGGTGGGCAGCTTTGCCTACCAATTCTATGCCACTACTTTGGAAATAGCTTAACACAATGCTACCTTTCACTATTGCAAAAACAAATAGGTTCAGCAGTTTTCATTACTAGACAAATGGTTTGCACGTACCACCTCTGGAGCAGTTTACACTGCTTTTACCGTCCACTTGGCTATGGATGCCAGTTTTCCCAAACAATACAACATACCTGGGAGGAATTCGGTTTCGTTATGCCGAACAACTTGCTGCACTTTCTGGCCTGAAAAATGGGGTTTGACTATTTTCCGTGCTCTTAGAATAATTCAACAACCAAGCTAGTTGCCGGTCTCACTGTGGCGCTTACGAACGTTCGCAGCCTCACCAATAAATTTGATGAGGTACAGCTCTGGGTAGAACAACATTGCCCAGATTTATTTTGTCTGACTGAAACATGGCTCCACGGTGATATTACTGATCCTGAAATTCACATCGATGGATACACGACATTTCGGTGCGAACAACCCAAGGGCGCTCATGGCGGTGTATTGTTATATATAAAGTCCAGCATGAGAGGCGGACTCATATCTACACATTATAGTGCCGACAGCCTATGCGAACAACTTTGGTGCAGAGTTACTGTTGGACCGAATGAACTGAGAGTGGGAGCCATTTATCGGAGTCCTTCAAACACTTCCCGTGATTGGATCGACGTAGTGCAGCAGCGCTTGAACTGCCGAAATTTTCTGTTGCTTGGTGATTTTAATTTTCCACACGTTGATTGGCCGCATTATAAAGCTCTACCTGGCAGTAGCAATCTCGAATGCGCTTTTATCGATACAATGGCGGAGATGCACGCTGTGCAACATATCCTGCAACCAACAAGGCAGTTTCCAGGGCAACCTGAAAGCTGTCTTGATCTCCTTTTCACGAACGATGAGCAGCATGTCGAATCCGCTAAAGTATTTGAACCCATTGGGTCCAGCGATCACTCCACAATTTCAGCGGTCCTACGTTTGCCATCTGTTGTATCATTACGAATACCCCGTCGTAACATTTGGAAAGCAAACTGGGATCAGTTGATGAGTACTGCGGAACACATGGACTGGTCAGTACCTTTGAATGACGATGCTGAAGTGTGTTGGGAGGTGATGAAGCAAAACCTTGTTCAGTTGCTAGACCAGTTTGCTCCTTTAACTCCAATAAAATGTTGGAAGAGGCCGCCATGGATGAACAGCGAATATGTTGTCTTGTCAAGGCGACGTGCAAAATTGTGGAAGAGGTTCAAACAAACTCATAGCGCTGAAGATTACACAGCTTACAAAACACAAAGAAACTGTTGCAATTCAGTGAAACTACAGAAGCGTGCGGCTTATGAAACACGCTTATCAGCAGATGCGAAGGAGGCACCCAAAAAGGTTTTTGCATACATCAAGCGCAAGCTTAAGCCTACTGATGAGTTGTCTGCTTTGGAAAATTCGCTTGGTGCACTGTTGACCGCCGACAAGGACCGAGCTATCGCACTTGCTTCACATTTCGAGGCAGTATTCGACTCAGCTTCTCCAGCATTTCAGTGTACCCAAGTCGACGCCAAACTGGATACAGTATCCTGTTCAGAGGACCAAGTAAGGGGATTGCTTGCTAATCTAGACTGCTCCAAACCGCCAGGACCTGATGGCTTGCATCCACTACTTCTCAAAAGGCTGGCATCTGTTATCGCACCTGCAGTGACGGAATTGTTCGAGGCCTCTTTGACACAAGGGAACGTCCCACGTGAATGGAAGCAAGCGATCGTACGGCCCTTCCCGAAAGGAGGAAACAGAAGCAGAGTAGAGAATTATAGACCGATTTGCCTGACACCAGTGCTGACCAAATTGCTGGAGAAAGTGGTCAAGAAGGCGCTGCTTGTGTTCGCAGAATCACACGGTGTGCTTACATCAGTTCAACATGGTTTCCTAAGAGGACGGTCTTGTACCACGAATCTTCTGACTTCCCGACACAGTTGGATTGGAGCAGTTAATGAGGGTAGGAGCGTTGATGCGTTGCTGATTGACTTTAGCGAAGCATTTGATAGAGTGAATCACTTTATCTTGCTATCTAAACTCAACAGTTATGGCGTGGGTGGAAAACTGCTGAAATGGATTCAGTCTTTTCTGGACAAGCGGCAGTGGTGCGTCCAGGTCAATGACTACCGAACGAGATGGTGTACTGCCTCTAGTGGTGTGCCACAGGGCACAGTACTTGGCCCAACGCTTTTTCGGTTTCATATCAACGACTTACCAGGACGTTTGACATCTACTTGCGCGCTGTTCGCAGATGATTTGAAAGTTTGGAGGGAAATATCGACACCCGTCGATGAAGATATACTGCAAAGTGATCTCGATACAATCTCCTCATGGGCATCAACAAACTGCCTTCCACTGAATGCTGAAAAGTCCGAATTGCTCCGCATTGGCAAGTGCTGTCGGGACAGAACTTACAGTGTCGGTGGACGTCTACTGTGCTCGGCTGCGACGGTTAGAGATCTAGGAGTACTATCCCGATGGGACTTAAAATCGTCAGACAATACGCACAAGGTCTACTGTTCCAGCCTTCGCATGTTTTGGTCATTAAAGCGGAGCTTCCACGTTTGGTCGGAGGAAATTGCTGTCAGGCTATACGTCTCCATGGTGCGCCCGCTTTTAGAGTACGGGGCACCGGCCTATTATCCAAGAACAAAAGGTGAGATGAGAAAACTGGAAAAAGTCCAGCACCTAGTCACCCGCCTGATCCCCACGCTCCGAGGCTTATCTTACCATCAGAGGTGCCACAAGTTACGTCTCCACACATTAATATACAGGAGATTACGAATTGACCTCATTACAACGTTTAGAATCCTTCACTTGAGACATTTTCCTTACCTGAGACATATGTTCTGTATTGTGGATGCACCTATTACCCGAGGGCATTCTTACAAGCTGGAAGTTCCACGTATGGACAAT